CAGCCTGAGAAACTCAGCAACTTAGTGAGACCCAGTCTCAAAATAAAAAATATAAAGGGGCTAGGGATGCAGCTCAGTGCAAAAGCCCTAGGTTCAAACCCCAGTACTGTAAAAACAAAACAAGAATAAATCTTCACGTCCTGGGATAGGCAAAGCATTCTTGGATATAACAAAAGCACAGGCAAAAATTTAAAAAACTTAGAGTTCATTGGATTTAAAACATTTTGTTCCTCAAAAGACACTATCAAGAAATTTTAAAAAAAAAGGCATAGATTTGGTGAGCTACAAAACATATATCTCATGAAGGATTTGAATCAGCATATATAAAGAACTTCTTTAGGACTGAAATAAAATAAAAATAAGCTAATTTTAAATGGGCAAAGGAGGGGGCTGGGGATTTAGCTCAGTGGCAAAGCGCCTGCCTGGCAAGCACAAGGTCATGAGTTCGGTTCCCGGTACCAGAGAAAAACAAAACAAAACAAAAAAAAAAAAAAAAAATAAATAAATAAATAAATGGGCAAAGGAAAAGGGGAGTGGCGGGGGGAAGAAAAATGAGAGAAAAAGGATAAAACGGAAACAAAGCTTTATGAACAAGGAGGGGAAGAGGGGTTGAAGAGCGGGGAAGGGAATGGGAAAAAAAAGAGGAACTAAGATATATCATGTACAGGTACAAATTCCATATGATGAATGTGATCATTATGCATATATAAATTGTACCAATAAACTTAATTATTAAAAAATTGAATTTCACCAAAGATGATAGATGAAAGGCCAATAAGGACACAAAAAGATGTGCAATATCATAGTTATTAGGTTAATGCAATTTAAAAGCACAATGAAACACCACTTATGTAAATGGCTAAAATGAAAAGAAAAGACAAATATATGCAATGAAGCAGAGAATTTGAAGCCCTGCTACATTATTGGTGGAATGAATATGAATAGGCACACATCCTCTAGAAGCCAGTTTGGCAGTTATCTAAAAATCTGAGGAGAACTATACATCATCACTGACTCACCACTAAGAGGAGGAAATGGCCTTAAAACTTATTCTAGACTGAGACGTGGCTCAATGGTAGAGTTCTTGCTTTGCATGCACAAGGCCCTGGGTTCAATCCACAGCACCAAAACAAACACACAGACAGACAAAAAACTCCAATTTATTCTAGCTGTCCTATCAGAAACAGACTAAGAAAAGAGGCTTCCTTTATGGATCCCAAATGGCAAAAACCACTACTATTTACTAACCTGGTCAGCTCTTAACTGGGTGGAGCCATCCTTATACATCAGGGTTACTACCAGGGCTGCTGCCTGCTTCAGCACTCCTGTCAGCTGGCTTTTTGCCAAATCATCCAAATACCTAATGTCGCAAAAGTGTCCTGAGTCCCCAGAGGTTAGGTAGGCTTCAACCTCATTGGTATCCTCTTCCAGTGCCATGTGTTTACTTATTTTCTCTGATGAATTACCATATGTAACATGTTTTCTTTTATGTTTCATGCTTTCCTTATTTTCCTTGTTTATATTTTCCTTTAGGAAATGCTTTCTCTTATTCTCTGTTTTCTGTGGAATGGAAGCCTCTTGATTATACTGTGGAATTAAACTGCTGGAGCGAGGGCTGATGCTCTTTTGCTTTTGGTCAGCAGACAGCTGCTCTGTGAGCCTGGCTGTGGAGGACCAAGGAGGGAGCCTGATGGACCCTTTCAATGCTTGGCTTGTTAAAGATTTAGGATTCTGCAGAAAAGTAGAAACAATTTCATTGAAATATGGATTCATAGACAGACCTGCAAACCAAATTAATTTCTGATAAAACTTGTATAAGAGAATGTGAAGACATAAGCTTCATATTATTTATGACCATACTCCCCCCCACACTTTTTGTAACTAGAGGAGGAAGCTAGGGCCTTGCACTTGCTATGCAAGTACTCTACCCATCTAGACCAGCCTTATGACCATACTTTCTAGTGAAACTGTAGTGTCCTCTAGAACAGTGACTTTTCTCTACCAACGGAAGCATGCATATCTGAATCCCAGGGCTGGTGTAGGCAGAACCTCAAAATGTCCCCATTGGCCCCTGTTCTTGGAACCAGCCAGGTTACGAGAAGCACCAGGATGGGAGGACATTGTGTCTGTGCATAACAGTGAAGATTAATAATCTACCACGTGCAAAGGCCAGTTATAGAGAAAATGAGATCACCAAAACTATTTGAAAATGTTAATCTACTTAATAATTAAAAAAAAACAGCTCAGCAGTGATTTTTCTCATTCCAGTAATGTACAGTATACATTGATAGATCCACAAACCAAACAACCAATGCAGAAAAAGCATCCCTATCCATTTCATCATAAGATTCACTTACGATAACATTGTCTTTAACAACTGTGTATTCATATTGCTTTAAAAATAATTTTTGAAGAAAATATTTTAACACTTGGTCATGTGTCACAGAAATTTTAAAATTTATATTCATTTTTATTGCAGAGAAATTATATAGTTTTCAAGAACAGACTTTTGAGCATAAAATTATATTAATTAAAATTCTGTGGAGTATACAAGAAAAGGAATTCAATGAGAAAAAGAAAAAGATTTCAGTCTGTTGAAGATCTTGTTCATGTATTTTTAAGGGGATGATTACGGATATCAAGTTACTAGAGTAGTTTAATTATAGTGGATATATTTCAAATGTATGACAGTTTTTAAAATGTCAGTATTAACAAGATACCAGAAAGCATGTCCTTTGCAACTTTTGAAACTTGTTATATTTTAAACAACTTTAAGATATGTCAGGAAGTACACTGTTTTTCAAAATTCCAGGGCTGAATAACCATCCTAGCAACCCAAGTGACAGGTCCTATCATTACTCCTATTCTGCTACAGGGAACTTAAATTTGAATTAAGTTAGGACAGGGCCTGAATGTAAGTAGTTCTCTCCAAAGTCCATTCACTTAAGCACTAGACTGCCCCCACCACTTTTCATATATAAGGTCCTTAATGATAGGTCCTCTTCTCTCTCCTCTCTAGACTCAATTGCTTAAATTATCCATTATGGACTTTGTACTTCTGTCTTTCTGGACTTCTGCTTATTTCCACCACGCTAAAGTTCCCTCAACCTGAAAAACATCTTCAGCATCCCTCTCCCATGCTCTAAAAGTGGGATCTTCAGGTTGGCTAACTCCTAGTCAGCTACTGCATCCCAGCTCAGATACAATTTCCATACTTCAGAAAGACACCTCAAACTGCTGCCCCACCACCCAGACAGGCACACTGGGACAGCACGCAGGTGGGTTAGGTGGTCCCTCCTTTTGCTGCCTAGGCATCCTGAACCTCCTCCGCCCCAGCACGTAGCACAGTTCCACTGGAGGCCTATTGTGCTTATCTCCCCTTTCCCTCTTCCCAAAGAGACTGTATGTGTGTTCTTGGAGAACAAGCAATTATATGTACACTGGCTAGCACATTATCCACATCTGCAATCACTTACCCTTCCTTCCAGAGATTGATCTTTCCCATCTTCAAGTAGCACTGAATACTTAACACTGGATTTGGTGGTCATTTCTACAGCTTTAGAGACAACAAAAAAGAAATATAAAGCATTAAAGAAAGACTGAAATATAAGTCATACAATTAACATTGAAATAGCTGGTATAATCATGTTATTTACATTTATTTTTCTTAAATGAATTTTACTGTAATAAAATTCATAATCAAAATACACATTACCATTGCAATAACTAGTCCTGTGAAATATTTTCAAGTTAACTAGAGACAGATCTATATAAATATGAAATGTTTATTAAAAATAATTGCTTAGCATTTGCACTTGAATGCTTGATTTTGAAAACCCAAAGTCAATGTTTCATAGAAACTTTGCAAATTTAAAGGTTTGAGGATCTTCCTTTTCCTTTCTCTCTCTCTCTTTCTCACTCTCTCTCTCTCTCTTTCTCTCTCTCTCCTTTCTTTCTGGTGCCATGGATAAAGCCCAGGACCCAGCACATGCTAGGCAATGGCTCTGCCTCTCGCTCCAACTTCAGCTCCACTAAGGAAGTTCTTAAGCTCAATAATACTGCAGTGGAGCAGACAGTCATTAAAACATCACAATACAAACATCTAACTTAGATTTTGTTTTAATTTTAGTAAGCCTACACTGAACATAAGTGGTAGAACAAGTATTCAACTCAAGGCAGCATGTCTTGGGTGTCTGTGTATTTTGCTTGTTTTTGCTTTGTTTTGTTTGGGCACTGTGGATTGAACCAAGGCCTTCCCACTGAGCTATATCTCCAGCCCTTTTTTATTTTAAGACAGCATCTTGCTAACTTCAAAGTGCATGTAAAAAACTAAATATCTGAAGATAAATATAACAAATGCTGATAAGGCTCCAAGAAAAACGGAACCCTTCTACATCGTTGGTGGGAAAATGAACTGGTATAACCAATATGGAAATTTGTATGGAGATTCGACCCAGCTCTCCCACTTCTGGGTATTTTCCAAAAGAGCTAAAACCATCATATTACAGTGATCTATGCACACCTATGTAATAGCAGCACAATTCAGAATTGCTAAATCTTGGAAGCACCCTACATGTCCATCAACAGATGAATGGATAAAGAAAATGTAGTATCTATACAAAATGGAGTACTGTTCTGCCATAAAGATAAATTTGAGTCATTTGTAGGAAACTGGATGCACCTTGAGACCATATGTTAAGTGAAATAAATCAGACACACAAGCTTAAATATCATATGATTTTTCTTACATGAAAAACCCAAATAATAAATAAAGAACAACATAAAAGATAGATAATAGGAAGTAGGGATACAGATCTTTCTCATGTGGGAAAGGGATCAAGAGATGGAGTGAGGGGAGAGAAGGGGAAGGAGATGAAAAAGGAATTCAGGCATGTTATGTACATGTACTGATTCACACAAGAATGTAAAGACTAATTATTACAAATACAAGAAAATAAAAAGCAGATAGATAATGTAAAATGAAAAATAAAAGATTTGCCTTGCCAGATTATTAGGACATACATAAAACTACTGCAGTCAGATCTACATGGTATATGAATAGCAACAGATGAAAAAACCTTCAGAATGGAACCAGAAACTGATCCCAGAACTCATGATAACTTCATAAACAACAAAGATAGCATTTCAATTCAATAGAAAAGGACAGACTAATAAATAGACTGGTAAAACAACATCCAAAAGAAAATACTGTTATTTGGAAATCTATTTAGAACAAAAATGAGAACGACAGCGGGCTAATACCTAAATTACACAACAAGCTCTTACATATTAAAAAGAAAAGACAAGTAACAGAAAATAAGCAAAGGATAAGAAGGCAATACATAAAATAGCAAACCCCAACAACAAACAAATGTAATACAGAAACTCACTAGTAGTCAAGAAAATGCAAATTAAAACCATGTCCACATAAAAACAGTTTGGTCAACAATAGACAGCATATAGGACAGCAGTCCTTATATCACCTGGTGATGTCATAGCTGTCCTAGTTTGTGTATGCACATTTTATGACGTTCACACAATGAAGAAATCTCCTAGGAAGGCACATCTCAGAATGTGTCCCTGTCATTAAATGACTGGAGACTGGAGATAAAGGGGAAGAGGGAATCTCGTGCATTGCTGGTAAAAATGTGAATTCTTAGCACCTTTTTGGAAATAGTCAACGCTGACTGAAGTTAAAAATCCAAACATTATGGCTGGGAACTGAGAGAAGTGATCCTACGCAAGCATATAATGGGCCTCTGGGAATGCTATCAGGGTTCTCCTAAGTGGGGTGTGGGCTGTGAAATTTGGGTGAATATACTTAAAGATATGTGAGTTTATCTATATGATGGGGAGGGGGAGAGAGAAAGGGAGGGAGAACTTCACTAAAAATCAGAGATATGAAACACATCAGTCATTTAACAAAACAATCTTATGTTAGCTAACTACATCCTAGAAATATATGCTTCCATAAAATGAGTTTAAATCAAATGTTTATGGCAGTATTACTCATGTGGCGAAAGACTGAAAACAAAGTAGATATCAACAGGAAAACTGAACAACAAATAATGTGACATTCACATGATGAGCCACAGAGCCATTAAAGAGAATAACTTACAGTTATGTCCATGGACTGAACATCATGACCCCATCCCTTAGAACAATGACCAAGTCTCCCCATTTATGTATATAAAAATGTTACCCACGTGCCCTGGCATGGGTCAAGTCCCCTGGAAGGCTGCCTCCATGATGGAGGTTCACACCAGTTTGCAATTAAGGAAAGGAGGAGGAAAAGCCAGAACAAGGAAGAAGCTGAGATGCAGTCCCTTGAGACCCTCTCTGGGCTGAGCGTGGCTCTACATAGGGTCCTCAGGAGGTCAGAGAGCTGAGCTTTTATACCCCAGCAGCAACCAGTCCTTGGATTCACTGCTGTTGGGGAAGGAGTGTACCCTTGGTCTCAGAAGCTCTGTGGCTAGGAGGGTCACCAGGAGGGGTTATCCAGTAGCTCCTAATGGGGGCACCGGCACCCGCAGCACTCACTCCAGTCCTCACCACTCTGCTCAGACAGCACCTGGAGGATCTGGTGGCCTCTTCCTCAGAAAAGGAAGTTAACAGGATGAACCAAATCTTGTTAGTGCAGCTAGTCTTGGGTTGAAATGACATCCATCTCCCTCCACTCTCACCTAAGGTCCCCTCACCATGGCTTAGCACCTCTGCTGATCTAGATGGCTGTGGAGAGAGTGATCCAAAGCCTCATTCTGAGAGGTAAGGCCTGTTCACTCTGCTCTTCTCCGGCCATGCTTCCTGTATTTGCCATATTTTAGGAAGGGAGGCGACCAATCATATCTCCTAGGTGCCACCTCACCTATGCTAGGTAGTAGCAATTGTACCTCCTCCTACACCCAGGGTCAGTCACTCCAGCAGGATGGACACTGCACTCTTTGCCTGCGGTCTCTTCGCACAAGGAGACTGACATGTGCTTGAATTCTGATGGCGCTTTGCCCATACCCCTATGTTTCCCTCTAGGAGCCCAACTTTTAGATCTGCACAACCCAGAGGTGCGCGTGGGAACACACATATCTAAGTGGTTACTGGGAGGGATAACTTCCACCTTTTGGCTCTCAGGCCGTTTATCACATCCTGGGGACACTGCACCAGTAACGGTCACATAAGTACACACTGTACCTTGGAGGCTGCTGCCCCCTCTCTGCAGGGTGCCATCTCCAAGCTGTGCCTCCACAGACCATTCCGCTGCTCTGTCAGATGGCACTGTCCGGGCGTGAGGCTATGAGTGAGCAGTGGGAAGCCCAGTCTGTGCCACTGCCATTTGCCCACTACAGCAGCCCTCAACTCTGTATGGATCCTGTGCCAGTTATTAAGTGTCCTAGGAGCCTTGGGGTATGGAGCCAACAAGGTGGTGTGAGTGAGAAAGGTGAATCTATGCCTACAATGTGTGTCAATTCAATCAAAATGAATTACCCTGGAACTGGGTGCAGTGGGGGACACCTGTAGTCCCAGCTATTTGGGAGGCTGAAGTAGGAGGATCTCTTGAGCCCATGAGTTCAAGCTAAAAAAAAAAAAAAAAAAGAAGAAGAAGAAGAAGAAGAGCACATTTCAGGGCATAGGAGGTTCAGGATTGTCAATCTACCACCAAAGCATGATGCCCCTCGGCATTTGATCTCTGTTGGAAATTTGGATGTTCAGCAGAGAAAAAGCTAAAACAGCTCTGGTGAGTAGGAGCACCATGGTTCTGGAGCTGTACATAGTCTCTTCCCTGCCCCACAGCTACTCTGCTGAAGAGCAACCATATGTCAGTGCTGAGACAGCATAGGACAGAGACTGGCAGATGTCAGCTGAGCAAGTCATTCTGTTCACATTGTTGCTCAGTGCTTCCTGTGTGGTAGACGTTTGTGGGTAGGAAATACTTTGTGCCCGTTCCATAGGTTCACTCACCTTGCCCAAGATCCTATACCACATCTTCTGATTTTTACATTCCAGGTCCCTGGTCAGCCCATCAAACCACTCACCACTGCCCACACATCCAAACCTAACCTGGAGCCTCCCCTCTTTCCACACAGAGCGGATGTTCAAACGGACTTCTGACCAAAAGTTTTACACTGGCTTTCCCACAAAATTGTCTTCCAGGGCTGTGGTGGGCCTACAGCCAGCTTTTGCTGGCCCTCCTCTTGGTAGTCGTACAGCACCACCCCATGCTGGGAAGTTCTGTCTTCACAGTCACTTGATGTCCCCATGGTGCTATAGTCCATCTCAGTCAGGGGCTAGAGGCATGGCAGTAGGCTCTTAGTGTTTTTTCAAATGTTAAGAAAATTTGTAATTCTTTATTGCAGATGGTCTTGCCTTGCTCCAGGTTCCTGGGAGTCTGCATTCTGTTTCTCCTGTTGAGACCTTGCCATAAACACCACCTCGTATTTTTTCCACCTCTAACGCTATGGATGTCCACATGGTTGGGCCATTTGCTTTCTTTGCTGAATCTCTTACAGAGTGCTTTCCTACTCTGCACTGTACAAGAAGCTGTTGGCTTTCAGTGCTGCTCAT